AAAAAAAAGAAAAGAACAATGAAATAACGATGAAGACATAGAGAAAGTTTTCATTGAACTTGGAATATAAAATTTAATAGAGGAAATATTTTATAATATATTGGTAAATAATCTAAGTCCTTGAGAACAAAACGTTCGATAAAATTCAAGAGATACTTCAAAGAGTCAATTCATAGATACTCTTTCAAAAAAATATACTACATTCAACCTTAATGCACCACTTTATTCTTTTCATAATAATTAGGGATACACAAGCTCAGCTCAAGCTCACAACTAATGGACCGTTGAAAAATGCTCACTGAGACGAACTGAACTGTTCGAACAGCTCATTTGAACGAACCGAACTATTTGTAGGGTACCCATAGGTCCGCAAGGACTATCCGATAGGGGTACCCAAAGGTCCTCCATGGCTACCCTATAGGGTACTCATAGGTCCTCAAGGGCCGCCCTATAGGGTACCCATAGGTCCCCAACAGTGCTGCCGCCTTTTGAAGTCCGAAAAGCAGAAAATACTTTTCAAAAAGCAGAAAATAACAGAAGTTTTAACAGCGAAAAGCAGAAAGACAGCAGAAAGTGTGTTTATAATATGAAACTAACGGGTAGCTCGTAATAAAAGAGGGTCTCAGTATTTTATTAACATCTTAAGCGTTATCTTATCGCTCACACTTTATTTTTTTTTATCAAAAAATTCACCATCTGCTTCTGCACAAATTGCATATTTCGTTGTAAAAATACTTATTTCTTTCTCTTTCGACGTCAGCACGATTTAAAAACAGCACTACACACAACTTTCAAAATCTATTTTTTCCATTTTTTTCCGAAAACATCTAGTCCTTAGATTAGTCTTATTATCATTGGTCGTGCCACATTCTTTATCCAGCAATAAAATAAATTGCCTTTAGTACGTTGATTGAAATGAACCAATTTATCTCTTCAATGGCGAACAAATTATACCAAAAGTAACAGGATTAATTGAAAAACTAGACATTTTCGAAAGAAAATTGAAAAAAAACGAAGACTTTGAAAGTTGTGTGTAATGTTTGTTTTAAATCATGATGGTGTTGAAAGAGAGATAAGTGTGTTTTTTACAGCGAAATACACCAATTTTTGCAGTATCAGACGGTAAATCTTTCGATAAAAAAATAAAGCATGAGCGATAAGATAATACTTAAGATGTTAACAAAATACTGAGAGCCTCTTTTATTACGAGCTACCCGTTCGTTTTAACACATTCAGCATGATAAGACCCACTAGTAGGTTCTAATATTCTCTAACAAAAATTGATCGCACGGAATTTTGCTTTTTTTTAAAAACAAAAAGTACACAAATTAAAATAAGCGTTACTTTTCAAATTGTAGAGCTTTTCACGCTGAGTCTTTTAGTATATTTTGCTTTCCTAATAAAACATCTTTAGAGATTAAAATACGAAATGCAAAGTTCTGTCAGTCGTTATCGGTCACCCGTTATCAGAGAATGGCAGGTCCCATCGGTGGGATCCGTCGTGGTGAATGTGTTAAATTTTAGTTTCGGTATAATACTAATCACTCGCATTGTATGGCAGCACAAAACACAACTAATTAACCAATAGACAAAATCATTGAACACGTTTTCTTTTTAAAGAGTATTCTTCATCTGATTTAAGAGCTGTTGACAAATCTTTTTTACCTAATAAATATTTATCCAATACAGTATATGATAAGGAGAACTTCGAAATAATTGTTGATTAAATCGTAGCATTTAATATTTTTTTTGTTTCTTATTGTTCATAGGCTTATCAATATTAGCTTTTTATTACCAATGTTCGGAAAACTGTTGATGACGAACGATAAATGTTAGTTGAGACGGATCAAATTTATATTCTTTTAAAGATCATTAATATTCGACAACTTTGAACCATTCTCTGTTGAAGATAACTCTATTCAATTTCTGTTTTCTGGTTTAACTCCCGATGACATATTTATTACTTCAGCAACGACTACTGCTTTGTGAATACTTTTTTCGCTCCTCGAGCTGTCATTATCATCTAGAGCTGTTTTTTCTGCTCCTTTTCTCTCACTAATCATATTAATCATTCATGTTCATTGAGCAAACAAACGAAAGAATGTATATGTTGATGTATAGGAATTACATGAGTAATTAAAATACGATAGAAGACCATAAGTAAAGAATTGATTTGAAGCCGGATATATAGGTTGGTAGTTGTTTGCAGTCAGTAGAAAATAAAAATCACTCGTATCCAATAGAAAAAATTAGAATGACACAAAAATAGCAGTAGGTTTTGATACGGTTTTTTTAAATAATTATGGAAACGAAGGTATTTCAGGAGAACAATGTTGATTGAAATAATAAATAACGCTGTATCATAAAAAATAGAAAAATTTTGAAAAAGCGGAAACAATAGAAAAAAAACAGAAAAAACTTCGAAAAGCAGAATTTTTCTGCTAAAAGCAGAAGAGGTGGCGACTCTGATCCACACCCACACCAAAAAAAAATCTGAGCCGACGACTTTGATGATCTCAGACCAATCTTGTATTGCATGGATTGGTTGCAAAAATTACTAAGCTTTCATATGAAATGTCGACTTTTTTTATTTGATATGATTATACTCATTGAAAAAGAGCTCTTTCAGCTTCAGAATTAGCGAATAATTCTTCTCCTTGATAATATTCATCGATATTTTCAAGAAATCCTACATGTATAAAAACCAAAGCAGTGACTATAACATTTCTCTCTGATTCTACTTGTAAAATAAAATCTTCGTCGGATTTTACAGCTACTCTATATTCGACATTTGTTGGTTCACCTGGTAATAAATCTCTTTTATTCAGTAGAGTCTGTTTGTGCTTAGTAAATGAACCTGGTTTTACTCGTGTTTCGACTAAAACACACCACTGTTGTTGATCACAAAATATTCTTTCTGAATATACTCTATGTGCTGCATAAAATATACTTGGCGAAACGAACACAGCATTGGCCCAATTATCTATTGATCCTACTCTTATATTCAAACCAATATGATCTTCCTGTGGAGAAATTCGATATTGAGGCGATAGAACAGCACCAGCCGGATGTAATCCATATTTCATAATCGAATATAAATGTTCATATTTAGTACCGTGCCAGGCCAATGTCCAAAAATTAGTTGAATATGCCGAAGAGTAATCCAAATTTCTCAAAATCTTTTTACCAATAATTCTACCATCATGTTTTGTGACGACAAAATTTTTGGCTAATCCATCACTTTTCAAACGATTCAATAGTGAATTGATTTTATCGTGAGTTTTCGACATAATGTAATCATTAATTGTTTTACCACTAGCTTCATCTTGAGGACTATGTCCAAATTTGTTTATTATTGATGGATTTGCTTCATATTCAAGCAATAGTTGAACTATTGATTGATGTCCATAAAAAGCTGCTCCATGAAGAGCAGTACTACCATCTTTTTGAGTTTCGTTAACTTTACATCCAGATCTTAATAAGAAATTGCATATATCATAATATCCATTTCTTGCTGCTAAGTATAGAAGTGTTCTTCCATATTCGTCTTTTTCATTGAGTAAAGAATGATTTTTTCTAATTTCTCTCACAAATGATTCATAATTTCCCATAATCGCATAATAAAAATGATCCTGCTTATTAACAGTAAACAATTTGCCATATATCATATATTTTGTTGGATCTCTTGAACAGATCATGTCATATGCTAATGCATACATTGCTCTCTGATATCTATATGATGCACGTATTTTCTGTCTAAAAGCATCTTTTACATCCACAGAAGATGAATGTACACTAACATTCAATATGTCGAAAGGATTTATCATACTAGACACTTCCATTTGTTTTCTTAAACGATATTTAGTTAATAATTATCGTTGTCTTTAATTGAAAGTTAGAATGCACTCTAACCGATGATCAATACTAATGAGAAATCTAAAAATAGAAAAGAAATTAGTTCAATGTAAACAAGAAGAATTATAACGAGTATTCGAGACTTGTCTACAATACTAAAGCAATAATAATACATAATTTAGATGTGTAAATACAATGATCCTATTAAAGTGAAATTCGTACGATAGCATTCGATAAATCAAGTTCTACAATATTAGAATTTTCTCATTTTGTAATTCACAAAAGTCAAAATCATGTATCTTATATATGGAGTCTTAATGAGATCACAGCTCAGTCGCATATGAAATTGATCTAATAGAGAAGATAGAGTGTCATGAGATCAAACAAATGGCATTCTTGCTTCTGAAATGAATAAAAAAGAGAGAAGAAAACAGAATAAATCTAGTTAAATATAAGACGAAGCATTTATATATGTCGCTGTTCACTCACATCGCTCAATACTCGCAATATGATGTTTATTACTTGTCGATAGGGTTAGCAAAAATTTAGTGTTTTTATCATCTGCCATGTAAAGATGAAACAAAATAAATATGTCATAAAATCAAGTAAATATCTACAACGAGTCAGAACGATTATATTATATAACGGCTGTGCACTTACACAGCGTTATAAGACGATTTGTGAAGTATACTTGAGTTATAAAATCAAATTATGTACAGTTGCTAAATAATGGTCGACCTATTGAATTTCGACAATATGATAGTTCAGTTGAATCGTGGTTTGCTATGTAAATTCATGGTCAAGTGACTAGAGAACAAATGCATTGTAGGAAGTAGATCAGTAAATAGGAGTTTAAGAAATATAAGTACAAGATAAAAAATACTGCGCAAATGGACCGCCCATCATCCAAATAAACATAAAGGAGACTGGTTATAGAGTAAACAGATCAAGATGCTTAAGAAAAAGTCTTGAGAAGTATTGCCTGCTGTATGAGTACGTCCACGAGAAACTAAATTTACTTACTTTTACTTTGTTTCTCAAGTTGTAAAATAATTAAAAAAAACGTTATCTTCCTTAAGTTCCATTTGTGTTTTCAATGCCTCTAACCCTATTAGTCCGTTTACTCTCTCGAGTTCAAAAGAAGTAAATGCCGCATAAATATAAAGCGATAGCTCTTTAGATTTCATACTTCCTAATATTAGCATGATAGAATATATAGACACCCATATTCATCAACTCTAGTTATGAATAAGAGATGAATTAAAAAATATCGATCTTATTTAGTTAGTTAATTTAACCAGGTTAATTATTTGATTGATAGTAATGACCAGGACACTCACCAAGTAGAATACCCTTCCGATGATCACACTAATGAAATCAGTGCGCGATCCATGATTTTATATTCGACAATGAGAATTCGTTCACTATAAATCAGAGAAGTTTGGAACCGTTTCGGTTTAAGTGAAAAATTAGTGAAATATTTGCTTTTGGACAAGATTATCTAAACTTTAAAATTGTCCAAGGCTCAATTTTATATATTTGCATCTTTCTTGACGTCACCATGTTGAAGTACAAATATATGAAGTGTGAAAAGAAAGAACATTGTTACAACGAATTTTACTCTCCGAAAAAAAATTCTTTCTAGTGTCATTGATAAAATGATTATGATTATTATCGCAGAATAAAACAAAGGTTGAAAAAACCGAAGTCAAATTCAAAGATGAAGATTTTTATCGAATGACATAAATAATTATCAAGCTAAACAGCATTACTTATGTCTTGCATTGTATCAAAATAATCATGTTGCAAGTTTGTTTTCCATGCGGGTAGTGACTCATTTCTCTTATGTTCTTTCGCAAAGAACTTGCTTGCTGACTGCATCCTCCACGAGAAAAAAATTCATAGTAAACAACAGGTAAAAACCGAGACATGAGTGAGTGTAGGTGCCGCTTTTTCGTAAACAGCCAAGTACCTCACGCTAATGTCCTCAACTAAATTGCATAATTCGATAAAATTTGTTTTTTTTAAAATAAAATAATTAATTAAAAGAGATAATACAATTAAAAATTATATAGAATGATAGGTGGCATTTGTCTTTCCAAGGTTTTTACCCCATTCTTTTCTTAAGGCTCTCCTTCCCTCAAAAAAAGTCACTTGTCGTCAGAATGATCGAAATTAACCCTTTACGGCCGGATGTTGCCAAATGGCAACATTTTGTCAATATCATCTTAGGATTTATCTCAAAGCGATGAGATATTGTTCCTGAAGCGGTTTGATAATTAACTACATGCATTTTAGAGCAATTCTATGCCTTTTCATGAAAGGAGAAAGCTATTACTTGCGAGAAGGATGAATTCTCCTGCCAACACCCAAAACAGCTCCAGAGTCGAAATGATCTGTTTTCCATTTGTCCGAGCATTTGATGCGAGAAGTAACTAGTGGTTAATTTTCCTCTCCAGGCCCATTATCTATTATACCAATAAGATGAATTGTTCAGCTTACTCGAAGAACAGAGTGCAAGAATGTTGCCTTTTGGCAACATCCGACCGTAAGGGTACAAATAGTTGGAAAAAGTGAATTACTTTTTCGTAATGGAAGTCCAATAATTTGCTGTTAGTTCTAATCCGTATTGTCAAACAAAAGCATACTTTGTTCATTTGCCAATCTCTTACAGCCTTAATGTGAAATATATTCCCATAATACTCAAAACTTTCCGAAATAGCGCAAATTTCACCTATTTTTTCTAAAGAAGCTAACAAATTCAGCGAGATTCTGACACGATTTATAGCACATCATAGTATTTCTATTCAGATTACTATAAGACATTACTAATCTTGTTAAAATCTTACTAAATACATTAGCTTCCCTAAGGAAAATAGGTGAAATTTGTACTATTTCGGAAAGTTTTTAAGTATTATGGAAATATATTTCACATTAAGGCTGTAAGAGATTGGCAGATGAACAAAGTATGCTTTTGTTTGACAATCTGGATTAAAACTAACAGCAAATTATTGGACTTTCATCGCGAAAAAACAATTCACTTTTTCCAACTTTTTGTACCCTTACGGCCGGATGTTGCCAAAAGGCAACATGTTGGCATTCGGCTCAGTATCAGTTCTTTAAGCCCCAAGGTGGGATTCGGTAACTTCCACATCTAAGAGACAAAGAATACATAGAAGAAGAATTTTTTGCTTGCCATCTTCTGGTGGCCGGCCGTAAAGGGTTAAGATGAATGCAGAGAAAGATAGCTCGTGATCTGATCTCTCATAAACGACAAAAACTTTTACTCAGCACCTCGTTTTTTCCAAAGCTTTTGAAGATTTCCGTTATCTCCTATTCGAAAAACAAGCTGTTTCCAGAAAAAACCGAAAATCTTTTCTGTTTTTTCTCAGTTCATGATTTGTCGAACGCGCAACTCAAATTTCTCTGTCTAGGTTCATGTTATATATTAAGATTTTTTTTTTTGTTTGAGAGAGCGTGTCAAGACGGAGGACATCAAGGAGCCCTTTTGTAAATTAAGCTTTGTTTTCATTATATATACAGACACTTACATAAGGGTGGGTGTGAGTGTGGATGTGAGAGTGATGAGAAGACCACACCCACACCTACACCCCCCACACCCACACCCCACCCACAGCCACACCTACACCCCCCACCCCCACACCCACACCCCACCCACAGCCACACCTACACCCCCCACACCCACACCCCACCCACACCCACATCCACACCCCTAAAGATGGATATGATTGAGCGGGAACTATCATTGTTGATGATTATGCTGTTAATATGGAGCGTTGTGATTCTGCTGCTCGTGTTTCTTGTTCTCGTTCTTGTTCCTTCATATTATTGTCGTCGTCATTGACCACTATTAGGTCTTCTGTTGTCATAGCTATTACATCTTGAAATTGTCGCATTATAGTATCAGCAAGTTCACTATTGATACGTCGTACAGTCATTATGGTTTGATAAAGGCGTTGTCATTTATCATGATTTTGACTTTGTTGTAATCTATAGATATCGACATTTTCTTCCATCAAAGTGCTTGCTTCCTCGATTAATTTTTTATTGTTCTTATCATGATCATCATCATGGACAACATCTTCGAACAGACTCTGTAATACACGATTACCTGTAGTGAATTGTAAGAGGATACCTGATCGAACTGATCCTGGTGGATGTTCGATTGGTAATGGAATGAATGATAAATGATCTATGCCGTGTTGAGTAGTACGACCCGTGATTGTTGTTCCAGCAGTCTCTGTCGAGTAGTTTCCTACGAAACAAAAACAAAAAATAAATATGTGAGTTGTTTTTTTAAGGACGGGCATAGTTTATACCAGAGATCGACTTACAAGATTCAATGTTCTCGGATTAATATTGATGTTTGATTCTATAAGAATGACATCATTTATCTCTTGTACCTTTTCTTTTTTGAAACAATTATCTGATGTTGAAGATGAAGACATTCAAAATTGCAGTGTTAATTTAATGAAGAGAGAAAACGTAATTCATTCGTATATCTGAAATAAAAGCAATACAATTAATCTTCTGCCAATAAAAAAATAAATCTATCTATCTGTGGTAATGAAACAAATACATCTACATATAAACCTATATATGTAGTTGTATCTGTGTCAAATGTGCATATCATCGATCCATATACGAAATGTAGACTTGTAAAACTTGATTGGATATCGTATCAATGTTGGTGATGCATCTCATGCCAAGCCAAAGTGTGCATATTTGATTTAGA